CTAGCTTTTGCCTAAGAAGAGCACACTCTGAAAGGCTGCAGGGCTTGTGGCAGGTGGTACTGGGTTGCGTGATACCAGTAGCAAGATTGATCTTGATTATCCTGACCTGACCTGGAGTAGTTAAAAGGACTTACTTCCCGCAACAGTACTTTGAGAAAACCAGGCATGACATTTTGGAAGTGCATTAGGAAAAACACTGCATCTAACAAAATGCAGGAGTCCAAGGTGAGTGTAGGTTTTTATTTAAAAATTATTTAGGAGTCTAAGGTGAGTGTAGGTTTTATTTAAAAATTATATTTTAAATTTTTTGTAAAAGTGTTTAATAAAAAATACAATTACAAAAAAAACAACCAAACCAATGTTTTAAGTACGATTGAAAAACAAAACAAAACAAATTTAAGTTTGCAAAAGTAAAAATGAAACTTATATGTTACTAATGCAAAAGTAAAAATGAAACTTATATATCTTTGCAATGCAGTGATATTTCATTTATAAACTTAAAAAACTTTTTTTAAACTTTTTTTTTTATAGATTAGATACTTGATTTTAATTTTAAAAATTTTTTTCAAAAATTTCTCTGTTGCGCAATTTTCTTATATTTTCTCTGTTGTGCAACTCTCTTATATTATTTTATATAAAAATATTTCCTAACTTTTTTTTAATTTTTAGTTTTTATTTTAAATTTATTATGAAAGACAAAATGTTTGTATTTCGGAAACAAGAACGCATTACTTTACTAAAAGGATTGTTAATAAATGGAACAGTCTGACCTATAACGTTGTTAATTCTGTTAATTTAAATACTTTTATAAATAAACTCAAGGAACATGAGAAGGGCAATTCTAAATAAAAATTGGATTGCTATTATTTTATTATATCACAAATTTCATTAGTATTTTTTATTTTACTGTTTAAGTCACGCAACTACAGTTGAGTGACTCACATATTTTTTATATGTACAGTTAACATTATTATTAAATAGTTGAAGAAAAAATTACTGAAATTACTTGATGAACAATTAAAGAACTTACCAGACAAACAGATAAAATATATGCTAAATATAAAAATGGAAACAAATCTTTTAATAAATATCAAAACAAATATTTATTACAGTGTATAAAATTAAAATTGTAGTAATTTGTTAAAAACGAAAAAAAACAAAAAAAAAAACAATAACAACTATTTACAAACTTTTTTTTTAAGCCAAAAAACCGGTTTGTTTGGAAAAAAAGGAACTATAAAAACAACCTATATATGTCAGTATGCAGTATATGTCAGTATGCAGTATATGTCAGTATGCAGTATATGTCAGTATGCATTATTAATGCTAAAAGGTTGTTACCATTTGGAGATCAACCAAACTGCTTTTAAATGCCTTTAGAGTAGTAACAGTATTAAAATAAAAGTCTTCAAAATTTTTCTGATACAGTTCCATCACTCTTTAATTTTTTAAATATGCATAATAGAACGCAAATATGACCTTTTGTTTTAATTTTTGAACCCTTCAAATAAATTAATTCAAGTTTATTTTTAGGTTTATGTAGGCTTACTGCACATGATATCAGTAAATAGCATGATTGTATAATAAATAACTAATAGTTGTTATTTACAGGATAATGCTTTGAAAGATCTGCCTTATTATTATTGTTATATTTTACAGGCAAAAAAAATCAGTTTAGAGAAAGCAGATTCGAAAAGTTTTTTAACAATATTGTATTTGCATCAAAAAAACACTCATCACTCTTGTCTGAGTTAAATCAAAAACTGAATAATGCTTGTGATGCGCTCTTTCTTATTTTACTAGTTAGGCATTGCTATCTTGGAAGAGTATGTTATAAAAACTATATCATGAAAAGTATGACATAATCATGAAATCAATTGCTGCCACTTTAGATGCAAGGAGATAATATAATATATAATAAATAATATAATATATAATAAATAATATAATATATAATAAATAATATAAATATATATATATATATATATATATATATATATATATATATATATATATATATATATATATATAATATATATATATATATATATATATATATATATATATATATATATATATATATATATATATATATATATATATATATATATATATATATATATATATATATATATATATATATATATATATATATATATATATATATATATATATGTATAAGGTTTCATATAGTGGACTGATTGTAAAGCTATTAACTATAGTTTTATTAAAGAATTATTTCATTAACTCTTTAAATCACTGGTAGGCAGACAGCATACTGCAGCATGTGTCTGCCAGCAGAAAGAGCTAGACTGTCTCATATTGTGGTTTGCATGCAGGAGGCATGTAGGAGAAGTCATGTTTAGCGACCGTTGGGATTCATTAAATATAGAGGCTCTATCCAGTACAAATATTGAAATTTTTAATTTTGAAGCCAAATGTTTTTATATCATAGTACAAAAATATTTTTTATTTGATTGAATAGACTCAAGGAACTTGCTTTAACTAATAAAATAGATATAAATTTTTGCAGATTCAAGAACCGCTACTTGCAACTGCCATTAGTTAATAAGGCAGCTTTTTACTATCCTAAACTTCCTAGAGCAATTGAGAAAGAACAAGTAAGTCTTGTTTCTCGATAAGAAGCCAACACTCTCTGATTGCTCGGAGGGGGCATTTGAGCTTGAAAAGGATCTCACTTCTGCTACAGCATGGAGCTTACAGTGGTTGATGAACTTTAATTTAGATAAAACCCAATGTTTTTTAGCCAATCGTGACTCGGTGAGTCATCTACGCTTCATCTTCAAGAATTAACTCTTATTTCCGATCTTTCTTGGAAACCATATATTAAATCTGTTGCAAAACTAGCATCTGTTAAGGTTGCATCTCTTTATCGAGCTGAACACTTTCTTACTCTGGATTCTATTCTCTTTCTCTATAAATCTCAAATCCATCCTTGTATGGAATATTGTTGCCATTTCTGCGGCGGATCTTCTAATGATACTCTTTCTCTTTTAGACAAGGTGCAAAAACGCACATTGTTGAAACTGCTCTTGCAGCCAATTTTCAACCATTACCACATTGTCGTGATGTTGGTTCTCTTTCTCTTTTCTACAAATACTATAATGGGCACTGCTCTAAAGAGCTAACGTCTCTTGTGCCACCTACTAAAATTCACTCTCGTGTTACTTGTCATTTAATTAAGTCTCATCCTTTTTCTGTGACTATTCCTGAGTGTTCCAAAAACTTTCATTCATCTAGTTTTTTTCCTCGAACATCAGTTCTTTGAAATTTGCTTCCTTCATTTTGCTTTCCTGATTCAAATAATTTGTAATCTTTAATGGCGTCTGTCAATCGTTATCTTGCTCTATAAACTTCATCTTTTCTCTTCCAGTAACTTCTAAATCTAATAGTGGTTGCTTGCAGCTTTGTTGGAAGCGAAGATGTTGAAAAAAAAAATAAAAAAAATAAAAACAAAAAGCTTAGCAAATTGCTTTTGATAATTCCTAGCTTTTTCCTATCGTTAGGTTTCATATGAGGGGATTACCAATAACTTGTTGAACTCAACCTGTTATTAGTTACAAAAGGATCTGAACCTCACAGGTTTAGCATGAATGGTGAATGGAAAAACTTCTGTACACTATGAAAATGGTCCTAAAGCCTGGAAAAATAATTGAGCAGTTTCCTAAGTCAGAAGTTGCAGGCAAAAATTAGTTCAAGATAATGGAACGTTTCTCTGTGTTAGCTATAATTTTCTACGTGCAATGGTGGATACGTGTACAATGGTGGTCCGCTTGTAGCCGATGCCCAAGTCAATGATCTGATTTTTGTTGAGAAACTGGAAAAATTATCTTAGCAGACATTGTGGGTTTTAATCAGACATAAAAAAATAAAAATAAAAATTTTAGTAGACATAGTGGGATCTTGTTTCATTGGCTCTTTTCTTACAAAGAGATTATTAGGCTGAGTCCTCTAATTTGAACGTTCTGGAAGTACTTCGGATCGTTAAGGAGCATTTTTTGGAAAGTGTAGCCTTGAGCCAATTTCAGAGGAGATAGAGTCACTGAGTGATTTGATTGGCCCTGGATCAATGAGGTTTTTCCATATTGTGAATGCTCCCTATGAGTTTCTTCAACCGCCAGCACAAAAATTCTTTCTTGAAATAATGATACTTGTTCAAAGACTTCAAGTAGTCAACGAAACTGCTGAAAGAGTAGTACAGCTATTCCATGATTTTAAGGGTATAAAAAAGGACAAAGAAAGGTTTCAAGATTTACTCCAAGTAGTTATAAGTTCATGAGAAAAAGTGCAATCATGTTCTCAACAGAAATTGTAGTTCCTAGCGCTGGATGATCAGTGATGATTAAGATGTGCTGGATGATTGGTGATGATTGAGTTAATAAATGAGGCTACAAGTTTTATAGTAATTAATGAACATTGTTATAAATGACTACTTTAAACACATTAAATAATTGGAAAAAAAATATTTTTTCATTCTAGTTGTATTTTAGGCTAAATAATGTAAATTCAATAATTGAACGTAATATTCAATTTAATTGTGCAGGCTCAGTTTTTTGAAAATCATAAAAACACATTTTTCAGGAAGTCGGGACAGCTAGGACACCCTAATATATATATATATATATATATATATGTATATATATATATATATATATATATATATATATATATATATATATATATATATATATATATATATATATATATATATATATATATATATATATATATATATATATATATGTATATTAGTATTTTTTAAAAAGATACTGAGCTCAAAAGCTGTAGCCAACTAGTCTATTAACTTTTGTAATTACTATGTAGTAACTAAGTGGGAAAAAAAAATATAGGTACGTATAAAATGTATTTTTGTGTTACTTTGAAATGTTCATTACATTTAGTTTTTTATAGACCACTTCCTCACTTTTTTATAGACTATTCCTCACTTTTTTATAAACCACTTCTTCACTTTTTTATAGACCACTTCCTCAAGATGAACTCAAATCTTTAATATACAGAGCATGTGGCGATGACAGCAGTGCGGCAGTTTTAACGCAAGTGGGTTTTTATATATTTCTGGTGTCAAAAGGTTTGTATGAACCTTTGCTTTTATAAAAAAACTTTTGAGACCTAACTACTAACTAATAAGAATTGGCATGGAAATACCAATAGGGCCAAAAAAATATTCCTGAAAAAAGTTTGTGCCGCTTTTAAGCTTTTTGTGTGAACATCTTTTAATGAATTTTAAAAAAAATTAGCGACGTTTGAGAAATTTATAGTCATTTTAATATTTTAATCAAAATTACTTAAAAACTAAAAGTGCTGCTTAAAACCCCTAAAGAAAAAATTTTTTTATACAGAAACAAATCTTCTATACAGAAACAAATTAGTAACATGGTTTTTTTTTTCATCTAATTTTTCAGAATTTTTCACTTCATCTTGTTGCTAAAAAATTGATGTTTTTTTTTAAAGTTTTTAAAAGGTTTTTAAAAATTAGTAAAAATAATTTTTTTTTATCTTATATAGTTCCGTAACTATGTGTACACCTTTATATACGTATCTAACACAATTCCGTACCTTTGTGGGTTGAAACTTTTTTCCAGTGAGCAAATCCAGGTTTCGCGTTTTTTATAAAATCCTGACCCGAATATAATAAGTGCTTGAATATCGAATTCGTTTTTAATAGTGATAAGTTATAACAAATTTTTCTAAAATATATTAAAAATAGTTGTTTAATATAATAAACATATTAAACTATTTATCTATCGCAAATTATTATAAGAAAATGAGTATAAACGGTTTAAATAGATTTAAATAATTCAGGTCTTGATTTTGCAAAAAACGCGAAACCTGGATTTGCTCACTGGAAAAAAGTTTCAACCACCTATGTGCTAATATTAAATTATGTTGAATATTTTACCTTTTAAATTCTTTGAAAAAAATAATTTGAAACTTTACATCAATTATTATTATTTTTCAAATTAGTTAAATGTTTTATAGATAAACAGTTATTAATTAAACATTTAAACGCAGTTAATGAAAATTTGAATTGTAATTTTAAGAATAGAAGATATAAATTTTGGTTTTGTGATAATTTGTTTATTTACATATGTAGAATGTATATTCGTGCCTTAGCTAAGTTTATTTTTTTAAATTTTATATCATGATTACTGATTTTAACAATGAATAAATGGCAGTGCATCTTTTATTCTTAGCTTTTTTTGAATCGATATCAACGTCATCAAATACTCTGTTTTTTTAGGAAATGCTAACTTATCTATCTATGTTCTTGAAAACAGATCCAAGCTTGTTTAGTGAAATGTTGCAAATACGCGTGGGACTAATTATGGAGGTTCTTGCTGCCGAGTATGCAAGAGCGTCTGGACTTTCAGGTTTATCTATATATTTGACTAGTTGTAATATTTGTTGTTTAATAATGCAATAACGCAAGAACATAGTTTGCTAATTAAGTGAGCGATTTTCCCCAATTAATCTGGAGCGCTTCTGTTACATTTAGTGTATGTTTGGCATAAGTATCCAAAATTTTAAAGAATGACAAAATGCCTACAATAATACATTTGAATACATCAGTTTATTGTCGGTATCTGTCTAACTTTTTGAGATTTTGGATACTGCTCCAGCCAAGCATAAAAGTAAAAGAAGCGCTCCACATGTAATGGAAAAATCTTTCACTTAACAAACAATCTTCTTATTATACTAGTAACTTAAATAATTTCCTAAGTTTTTAACTTTATTAGTTTTTTATTAGGTGAAGAAGCAGCAGATGATTTGTTGAGTTTAAGTCCTTTTCAAATGAAATCTCTTATGTACTTTATATTAAGCGGTAAAGAGTTTGGCGTTGAACAAGGTATGATTCTCAGATTTATTTTAAAATCTTTGCATGAATGTAATATAAAGTTAATATAAAGACAAAGATTTTATAAAAAGTTTAAATTTTTTTTTTTTGAAACCCTGCATTTTCTTTGATGCTCTTGATTGGTTTTTCTAAAAAACTGACTTTTAATTAAAATCAGTTATGTTTATAAAGTTATAATTTTATGATATATATATATATATATATATATATGTATATATATATATATATATATATATATATATATATATATATATATATATATATATATATATATATATATATATATATATATATATACATTACTTATAGTTTTATTTTATTAATTGTTATTTTCTTAGAGTTTGATAAATCTGTCGTGTTTGGAATCGAACGTAAAGGGAGCATGCAACGTGTGAGAACCGCTGTCAAGGTTGTTTTTTTACTTAAAATATAATAAGTTATTTCATGTTTTTCACGAAATGTAAAATTTTAATTCTATGCAGAAAGTAGGAGAGGCTTTAGCACACAAGAATCTAAAGCAACAACCGGTTATTTTCTCTACTTTGAATCAACTTCAGCCTACTTTTGAAACAATGAAGACAGGAATGTGGCTAAGAAGAAGATGTTTAGATGGGGCGCTAAACAGGGTGCCTAAAGGTTTTTATCACAAAGTATGGCATGTCCTTCTTAAATCACGAGGCATGGCTGTTTATCCGTATGGTTTCTTTCTCGAAGATAGACTTACTCAAGAGGTTTTATTTAAAAATCTTATTTGATTAACATATACTGTTTTGAAATTAAAAAAAAAATTAATTTAATAATTTTGTACTTCCTTATTACTAGCTAGTTACTGCATAGCAACCATAAACCATATTAATTATAAAACATTGAAGGCTAGTTAGCTACAGTTTTTGTTCAGAGTTCAGTACCTTTTTAAAAAATATTTAAATAATAAAGCTTCTAAACTGCGTTAAACTTTCTTTCTTTACCTTTTATTTTCTTGATTTTGTTTAAAATGTTCACTATTCACGAAATTATCTTTATAGAATACACCTGGTGAAATGAAATTTGCTTTAAAAGTAGAGGAGGAACTCAACAAGATACTATTTCCTGAATACAGACAACTTGTAGTGGAGGCAATGATAATAGTTTCGCAACTTTTTGAGCACCATGATGATTTTCGATTCAACGATGTTATTCAGTTAAACACTATTGTATCAAATGCAAACCAACTTTTTCTCGAAAAACAGGTAATTTTACTATTCCAATAGAGTAAGTGTAGGCGCCTCTTTTGAAAAATAACCTATAAATACCGTGTAGTTTGTGTTTATAGACTTAGTCTACTAAATAAATAAAAAGTTGCAAAAAACAAGGGTAAAAATCTGTCATTGTTTTATATTGAAAAAATTGCAACTAAAATTTTCAGATAACTTTATTTACATTGCGAGAATTAGTACTTTTTTTTTAAATTAGAAAAATGAAAACGGTGATGCAACGTTGTGCTGTGTTGCTAAAAATAGACCTACAACCAATGTGTCGGCATGCGGAGCAAGCAATCAAATATGCCGCTATTTTTACGACAGCGCACCGAGTGGTGAATACGGAACTTTAACATACTTAGCCCAGGCGTCGTTTCAAATGTTTTACAGACATATGCAGGATTCAAATGAATTTTGCAAGGTAACCTGACTGAAAAATTATAGATTAAATATGAAGTTCTTTATTTCAATGTAACAAAAAAAATATATATAAAAAAATAATAATATATGCTACATTTTTGAAACACTCGTTATTGAAATAATTTATAATAAAAATGTTGTTCGTGATTATTTTTATACAATAAATACATTCGTAAAAAATGATATAAACAAAAAAAATTCTACTTAAATACATATTAGCTAATAAATACACGGGATTTATCTGAAACTTGACATTTCAGGAGATTATTCGCCTTTTGGTTTCACGAGGGTTGTATCATACCGTCGAATGACGTCAGCCTAGATATAACCGTAAAATTAAAAAACAAAAATTTCACAAATTTTAGAACTTTAAAAGAGAAACAATTTGTTGAGAATTTTCTTAAAGTATAAAAAGCTTACTTGCGCAACTAAACCATGTTCTTCTTGAGAAAATGCAAAACCATCTATAATAACAAAAAGTTATTCAAAATTTCAATTCTACAGAATAACGTCTTACTTTGAGACATGACAAAATTACAAAAAGAAGTTTCTGATTACGGAACTCCATATTTCATATTTTCTACAAAATTCATATATAATATCATACGGTATATGTTTACAATATCTGTTTATACGGTATAAGATTTAAAAAATTTTCAAAATTGATTGTAATAAGATGTAACTCACCGAGTTAAGACTTTTTTTTCTTTTTATCTTATTTTTATTTTATCTATTATATTATTTTATTTTATCTCTTATAATTAAATATCAAGTCTTGTTTTAGAATTAAAACTGAATTTCATCTCGCAGCAAGTTGATATTGCGAAGTTTTCTGATTGTTTCATACTTTGAGTATTTTTATTTAAAATCTCTCTGCTTATTCTCATGTTTAACCTTCTTGCAATAATGATTAATAGGGAGAAAATTATTTTATCTTTTGTATATCTTAATCACAGTTAACTTAATGCTGAATTCTTTTGATTTTATCGACTTCATCTTTATAAAAATGATTTTATTCAAGACGAGGTTTTCCTGTTTTATTTAAATACTTAAATAAGAACTCTTTTTAAGTTGTTTATTTGCTATATCGCGTTTTTAATAGGTGGTTCCAAGTCTAAATAATTTGTTAATATTAAGATTATTTTCTGAAAGTGTTTTTTTTTCTTATAAATTTTTAATGAATATAAAAAATAGTAGCTACAAATCCTTGGGAGATATAAGTACAAAATTCTTGGGAATATTAGGGATCAGGTAAATCCTTGAGAAACTTTAGTTAAGCATTTTTCCATTCAGATACGCTTTCACATAATACTCCTCGTTGCATTTTATTTCTAAGAAAACCTTGACACCACTTAATAATATACATCGAATATTGAGTACTTCGAATATTTTTTTAAAAAATTATTTAGACCGAATTTGTTTTGATCTTTTTACTTGTAATTCACAACAATTCACTTGAGAATAACGTACCAACAAAAAAAAACTTACGATCTGATCTTGCGATAGAAGAAGGCGAAGATTTCAGTTCCATGTTGTTATCTTTACGGATTTTTTGCTTCGGGACACCTCTCTCATCTAATTCCCATTCAATCTGTTTAAAACAATTATTGTCAAACTTTAAAGGTCATAACATATAAATTACTATCTAACGGTTAGCTAGAAAGTAATGATTAAACAAACGATATAAAAAGATATAGAAATTTTCTCACCCCTTTTATTTCAAGTTCTTGAGCGAGTTGTCTGGTGTTTTTTTTAAATGATCGTTGAAACCTATTTATAGTATATATACATATATATACATATATATATATATATATATATATATATATATATATATATATATATATATATATATATATATATATATATATATATATATATATATATATATATATATATATATATATATATATATATATATATATATTAAAAACAAACTTTATTTCAAAAATAATTTTCTAAAATTAAGATCACTTACAAGTGAAATAAAAAATCAACCCATAAAGTTGTTGGAGGAATAATTAACAGTGTAAACCAGAATAAAGCACACGTGTATAACATTCTATCCTAAATAGGTAAAATAGCACATCCATTTTTTTGATTAAAAAAATAAACAATATTGTAATAAAGAGTATGATTTTACTTTAAAGAAAACTGAATTAAAATACATCAAGTAAGATCAGTAGTTAAAATTAAAATGAAATTCAAATTGATTGGTTTGGTTAAAGTGATGTTATTCAATTTGATTTGCTAGGTTTACTTGGAGTTAGGTAAAGTTAATAAAGTGGGAAAAAGTTAAACATTTAGAAACTAGTTTAATAGGAAAAAATCTGAAAGTCAAAGTATCAAGATAAACAAGGTAAAAAGTATCAAGGTTTTACCTTAATGTATCAAGATAAAAATAGGTTTAAGAATTAAAGGCTGGTTGACAATGGTTACAATTATTGGTTGACAATGGTTACAAGGCTGGTTGACAATGTTATCAATAGTACATCCATTAATTAGAAGCAATAGTTTATAAGGTTTTATTAAAATAACGAACCTGTCCGATCATATTTGGAGCAATTAATAATCCAACAAACGGGGAGCAATAAATTAGCAAAAACACAAACCAGCTAACAATACTTCCCCATATGGACAAATGAGAATACTAAATTTTAAAAAAATTCATTTGATTTATTTTACTTATAAAGAGTTTTGGTATTTAATAAACTGTTTACTTACTATGGTCCATGAATCTAACTCTAAGGCTGCTTTCAAGCAAACAGTAATAACAACGCACTATAAGAAGTAAAATTTAAAAAAAAAAAATTATATTTTAATTTTTTATTATATTAACTTTTCTGGTTGAATATAATTCATAAACTTCACTTACAGTATAAACTACGTTACCAACAAACCACTGTCCAACCACTAACCCATCACCAAAAGCAACATCTAAATATTAACATCATTGAATAACATCAAAACCATTGCATTTTTGTAAAAAATTTATAAAATGAGCTTTTATTTTTGAAAATTTACTAACGCATTAAAAAACAAATTTTAAGAGATAAAAAAATAATATAGAATATCAATTACCTTTAGAAAACACAAGTTTCGGGAGATAAAACAGCAGTATAGAATGATATATAGCAGTAAATATCCAAATCCAAAAAACCTTTTAAAAAACTTTATTATATAATCCTAAGATGCGAGATTTTGAAAATCTTAAAAATGCTTAAAACAGTAAAATTTATGAATTTCATTAAAAGTCATAAATGGAAATAAAAACAAAGCAAAACCAATTTTATCAGAACCATTTGAGTAACATTATAGTGAAATAACAGAAAAGATTTTAAACATTTTTTTAGAGTTTTGTTAGAAGAAAAAAAAATAAATGGAAAAAATTATAGATAAATAAAGAGAAAACTTTACGAAAAAAAAAAAAAAACTACAAAAAAATAAGAAAAAAAGTTGAAATGATAATAATAAAAACAGAAAAAAAAAAGGAAAAAACTATCTAAGTTAAGTACTTTACTGCAATATTGCACTAGTGAGCTTGTACACTAAAAATCACAATGTTGCACACTAAAAATCACAACTGTGCACCTGTGAGCTTGTTTCTGACAGTATAATAATAAAGCTTAATGGCAGTTTGACCGTTAAACTAGTCTTACATTAAAAGAATTGAATGAATAAAAATTAATTACACTTTCTGCCGATGCATTCTAATAACTTGCAGCTCAGTTTAGTAAACAACTTTTTCTATAGTAAGTTAATTCTTCCAAATGTAATAAACTCAAAATCTTTATTTTAAACACAAGTACTATAAGTAACCATTAGTACTATTTTGTTTAAAGGCCAACTTTTTTTGCATTATTTAAAAAAATTATATAGTTCATGTCATGTCTTTATTGCTTTGTTGTTGCCAAATGATAAAGACATGATCTGAACTATAAAAAATATTTAAAGATAAGCCAATCTTCATAGCAAAAATAACTTATTAATAATATTTATTTAATTGTACAGCATTTCTAGGATTGTTATATCTCTTTTGTGATAAAACAAGTGCAACGATTACAAAAATAAATCATCAACAAATTTTTGTTTTTTTATCTAACATGCAATTAGCATTTCTTGCACTTGATAATACTTGAATATTTCATTTCAAGTTAAGAAATTATTCAAAGATCCCTTTCAGAATCATATTTATACTTATGTATTCAACTTTCAATCATTTGTACACACATACATACATAAACACATACATATAAATCTAGAAACAAATGAATTTTAACTAAATCTAAGCAATCTAATCATAAAAGTTCATTTTGTTGAATGATGTGCCAAAGTATCTGGACAGAACTAAAGTAATAAAATTACTTTTGTAGACTTTTATTCAATTTAAAATATAAAGTATTTTTAATTAAAAAAAAAAGGTTGTTTAGTATAAATTTTTAAAATGAAAAAGCGAAAATATACAAGTTTAGCTGTTAAAGAAGCGGTATTGAGTGCACTTGAACAATGCAGAACTACAAAAACCATAGCAGATCAGTTTCATATAGGAAAATCAACAGTCAGTATATAAAACATGTAAGGAAAGAAATAACAATAGAACCTCTCTGGAAGTCAGGAAGGCCTCAAATTACATCTAAAGGAGAAGATAAAATATTTTATTTGTGCCGCGAAAAAGATCCACGCAAAAATTCTGTATTTTTAAATGCTGAAATAAAAGAATTTTTTAATGTAAAATGTTGACACAACCAAGCTTTGTTTAAGATCTGCAAATCTATTTGGAAGGTTTTCTGCAAAGAAACCTTTTATTTCTATAAAGAATCAAAAAATACACTTGAGATTTGCTAATAAACATTTGAGTTTGGTAAGAGAACAATCGTCAAAAATACTTTTTAGCGATGAATTTAAGTTTGTTATTTAGATTTGATGATACTAGATATGTTTGTTGACCAAAAGGCCATAGAAACGATCCTAAATACCAGTTACCAAAATAAAGCACAGAGGTGGAAATGTTATGGTCAGGGGTTGCTTCAATAGAGATTATATCGGTCCTATTCATTTGATTAATGGCATGATGGACAAAAATATGTATCTAGATATCATTAAAGATGTTATACTACCACATGCTAAAGACAAAAATATAAGCACAACCCATTATAATTCACCATTTGTAGGAAATTCCATACATACAAAACATATATAAAGTTTTGAACTTTAATTTAGGATTGTGTGTTGTAATTAGAAACTTTTCATCAAGAGATGAAACAAAAATGTTGTGAATCTTTTTTAAAAATTACAATTTTTAGTTTTATAACATAAAATCTATCATATTGTGAGAAAACTTTTATAATGTTAAAAAAATTGTTATATTACTTTCTTCAAAAAAAATATAAATAAAACAAAATTTTTAAGTTGTAAAAATAGAGTAACGGATGTTAAATGCTTCAGTTTCATTCATTTACCTTTACATTGAATAGATCTGAATTCTGTGAACTTTTATAAAGTCTTGGACATTTTAATCTTGCTTTTGAAGAGCAACTTTGATCAAACAATCCAAAAGCTAATGGAGGTAGAGCTGTAAATATGACATTATATAATCCAATACACCACTTATCAAAAAGAATCTGTCCAGAAAATCCATTAGAAAAAGCAAACCATAACTAAGTGAGAAAAATCTGTTAGTAAACAAATATTAAATTTTGACAATACTATTCTCAATTTAAAAACATTGAATGCACATAAAAACATTTTTGTAAAGTTTGGTAAAGCAAATTTAACATAAGAAAACATTTTTTACCTCTATAACATATAAACAAATATTTTTGTAAAATGAATATAAAATAAGTTTGGTGAGTCGAGAGTAGCTAAATGCACCATGTACAAGCAACAGTTTGTTCAAAAAGCGAAACTAAAAGTAAACATAGCTTAGTATATATATATATATATATATATATATATATATATATATATATATATATATATATATATATATATATATATATATATATATATATATATATATATATATATATATATATATATATATATATATATATATATATATACAGGGGTCGAAATAAGTGCAGGACATCACCGCCCCTCAGACCATTTTTGAGACCTGCTAGACGAGGACAACAAACCATTGTTCATTTTTTCAGTAAAAATGAACAATGGTTGGTTGCCCTCATATAGCAGGTCTCAAAAATGGTCTGAGGGGCGGCAATGTCCGGCACTTATTTCGACCCCAGTATATATATATATATATATATATATATATATATATATATATATATATATATATATATATATATACATATACATATATATATATATATATATATATATATATATATATATATATATATATATATATATATATATATATATATATATATATATATATATATATGTATACTAAGTTTCCATTCTTGTGATTTAGATCATTTATAATTAAAAAATAAAATAAAAAGTACTTGTCCCAAGTAACCCAACTACAAGGTGTTACTTGGGACAATAGCTTTGTTCAAGTTTATTGAAAAAAACAATATAATAACATATAATACATTTTAATGGAAATTAGATTTTATCAAATAGTTGAATTGGAATGTAATGGAATTCATAGTATTTTAGATTGATAACATTCATGCTTCAATGAATTTTAAATTTATCAGTGTAACCAGCATAGGACAGTGGGGTGCTGGCTCCAAAAAGCCTATGAAGGATTTTTCTAAAAAGGTCTAATTTTGCAGGATTTTACCATATATACTTGATTTGAAGGCCCATAAATATGTAAATGGTTGTTTCATAACAACATTTAGCTTAGAGTAAACTAAGTAACGTAACACTGCTTTATAAAAAGATTTGGTTTTTATCAACATTGATATTATTGCTTAAAAATGTAATGATTTCAGTGAAAGGTCAAATGTTTAAAAGAATGTAGAAAAATTAATGGTTAATTTTAGAGATTGTAGAAAAATCCAATGGATAATTTTTATCGCACAATGGCTAATTGTTAAAACAATATTTTGCGTTAAAAAATATTTTTATAATGTTAAGTTAAAAAAATATTTTTATATTTAATGTTAAGTAACTGAACAATACTGCAGGAATTATAAATACTTTACTGATATTATAATTGATACCAAGTTTTATTTAAAATAAAAATTTACCTAATAACTTGTAAATCTAGAAATTCTTGGATGATGTTAGATAATGCTTGCATTTTATTATGCAAAATACTAAAATACTAACGCTCAAAATTCAACACTTTAAATCAGATTATTAAAAAAATTTGTGATAGAATAAAGCTTTCTGGTTATTTAAAGACGTGAATATTTTTTCAAAAGGCCTTTATAAGATAAAAAGCTTAAAGGGGATTTTCGCATAGCCTCTTGGCCAGCACACCACTGGCATATAAACAACTTGATATGAATTTTCTTTTTTGGAATAAAGCTAATACAAATGAAGGCACCTATTGTGTTATTAATAGTAGGTCTATAACATCTAACCTTATGCAAATAATGGAATAGGATAAATAATGATAAAACAAACGTATTATAGGGAATAAACATAACTTTGGATTTACCTTAAATATTCCCCGAGTAAATACTAAAGAAAAACATTTTCATCTAACTCTGTTATCTCAGAATGTTTGTAAAAGCTCAAGCATGAATTGAAATATGGGATGTGAGGCCAGCCTGACAAACTAATATTTCTCATTTTGTCCCAAGTAACACCACTGTCCCAAGCAACCCGGTTTAATGGTAACCTGTAGGTCATGTTAAAAATAATTTTTTAATAACACAACCTGTATGTTACTATTAAAAATAATTTGTATCATTGTTATATTAACAATAAAACAAATAATAATAAAATAAAATAAATTTTTTTTTTAACTATAAAAAAGGAATTGAGGCATTGAAGTTTCATAAGTATGAAAATGAATAATTGAAAAAAATATTCATGTTGAGAATTTAATAAAATAACTTTTAACAAAAAAGAAAACGCTTAACCTAAAAGTCAAAACAGAATAAACAACATTTATACATAAAGTAAACAACAACAATCTGAAGCCGTGAATCATATGCGGACAAATAGGAACAATGTTTTGATATATATAAACATACGTGGCTATAAAAATGTATATTAAAGATGGCTTACTTATAAGAATATATATATATTTAAGTGTAGTACAGTGTTTTAATAACGACACAACAATGGCGCTACGAGTAAGGGACGATTTGACTTTAGATGACCCAGATAATGCAGAAGCATGGATTAGATGCTTTTCAGCTTCCGCACGTTCAAAGAAATTAAAAGATGAGATAAACGGTAGCTACGAGATAACAGATTTATTTATGGCAAAAGCAGGGATTGAAGCAGTTAAAAAGATTTCTCTTATGGTATATCCAGAAGAATTAGAAAATATGATGTTTGATGATATTAAAACTGTTGTTATGTCCCATTTGAGACCTCAAAAACGACTAATTATTGCTGAAAGAGTTCGATTTTTAGCATTAAAACAGCAAAACAATGAAAACATCGTATCATATGCACAAAGATTACGCAAAGCTTCACGCTTTTGCAACTTCGAAAAATTGGGAAGAGATGGCCAAAGCGCGGAAGATGATTTGATTCAAATGAGATTGATTGATGGTCTCCAATCTTCTGATCAGAGAGTTAAAGCTCTAGAAATGATACAGAGTGGAGAATCGCCTAAACTAGGAGCATGTATTGATTTTATCAGGCAACTGGAGCAAATATCCTGTTTTAGTATACAAAACAACATCGAAAACAGCATAGACCTTCCTTCAGTTAATTACATTGATAAAAATAAAGAAAGAATGATTAAATGCAAGTATTGTGGCCTTCAACACCCACCTAGGAAATGCCCAGCATTTGGGAAGAGTTGTAAAAAATGTGGAAAGCTGAACCACTTTAAAAACGTATGCAAAGCAAACACTAAATATGAAAAAATAGTAGAGAAAATAGAGATCGATGATGCTAGTGTGTATTCCATTAACATGAATGATACAAACTCAGAGATTAGTGTAAAAATTAATGACTACAATATAAAAATGCAAGTTGACACCGGAAGTCAAGTCACAATTATTCCAAAAAATTTTTGGGAACTAATGTCTAAACCGAAATTACAAAAATGCTACCTTCGCCTGAAACAGTTTGATGGCACAGTTATAAAAGTCCTAGGCGAATTTGAGGCAACTTTGGAAACCGAATCAAAAATGAATATCGTACGAATTATTGTTGCAGACTGTACAAAAAATCATGGTCTAATTGGTATGGATATATTAAATATCAACGCCACAAAATTAGTAAATAGTATAGAACCTCTTGTTCATGGGCGTTTAATTAATTACAAATATTCTGTTGAAAAACGCAAATATTCTGTTGAAAAACGGCGTACAACCAACTTATTTTGAAGCTCGACCTCTTCCTATCCATATAAGACCACTAGTGGTAGATAAACTTAATGGAATGATACAGCAAGGGTTGCTTCAAAGGGTTCCTCCTGGTGGAAGCAGATGGGCTTCACCGCTTGTGGTTGTTAGAAAAACAGACGGAGATTTACGCATTTGTGCGGATTACAAAATAGGTGTTAACCAAAAAATATGCTTAGACTCATATCCCATCCCAAACATTGAGACCGTATTTCATAAAATGGCAGGGATGAAATATTTTGCTAAAATTGATCTCAAGGGAGCTTAACATCAAATTGAGATGGACAAAGAGGCACAAGAAATAACAACAGTTAATACCCCTATTGGATTATTAAGATGGACCTGTTTACCTTTCGGAATTAAGACTGCAAGTTCAATATTTCAAAGAGCGATAGAATCTGTTGTTGGCGATATTATTCCCAATATGATTATATTTCAAGATGATATATGTGTCGGTGCTAAAAATGTTGAAGAACTCAAATCGAATTTAAACAAAATATTGAGCAAATTGAAGGAATCGGGAATGAGCATAAATAAACGAAAGTCAGTGAATGAAACAAAAAGTCTTTCGTTTTTAGGATATGAACTGTCAGAAAAAGGAGTTACCCCAGATCGTTATTTAGTCAGCAAAATACTTGGAATAAGTCCTCCTAATAATAAAAAGAAACTCGAGTCATTTATAGGATTAATAAACTTTTATGGTCGACACATTGATAAATATGCTGAAAAAATTTTTCCTTTAAACAATTTAAGAAAGAAAGGAGTTACATTCGAATGGAGGAAGGAGCATCAACAGGCATTTGAATTGCTAAAAAGAAACCTTTGTGAAGAACCCGTAGTGAAGGTTTATGACATCAACCAAGATCTAGAGTTAACAACAGATGCTAGCGAGAAAGCTATATCTGGAATACTTTCACAGAATGGCCATCCGGTATTGTATCTCTCACGAACTTTATCAGACGCTGAGACAAGATATTCTAATATTGAGAGAGAAGCTTTAGCTATTGTATGGTCTGCTCACAGAGCTAGGCATTTTCTGTTGGGTAGAAAATTCAAATTAATATCAGATCACAGGCCATTAGAATTTATATTTGATAGTAACAAAGAATTGCCCAAAGTCACATCCGCTAGAATTTTAAGATGGGCCATACAAATGATGGCATTTGACTACGAAATAAGCTACAAGAAGGGAGAAAACATTCCTCATGCTGACGCATTATCGAGATTGTCCTTTCTACCACAAGATGAAGAGAAAGACCAAGAAACATTTATACACTTAGTCGAGTCAGATATAGTGAACCTTGAGCAAATAATAAAAGAAACAGAAAATGATAGGGTATTGATGGACATCAAAACCAGAATTAGGAAGAATAATTGGAGCAGATGCTCGGTAACAGAAAGACCCTATAAATCTATTAGGAATAAACTGACTATCGAAAAAGGAATTGTGTGTAATGGTGACCTCATTGTACCTCCTAAGACAATGAAAAAGATCTTCATCAAATCGATCCATGATGATATACATTGTGGCATAATGCAAACGCGATGTAGATTAAAATTAGAAGCCTGGTGGCCTGGCTACTGTCAAGATGTTGAAGATTATGTGAAAAACTGTGAAAAATGTGCCGGAATAAAAGTGAAGAAGGAAAGGACATTACATACATGGCCAAGTGAAAATAAACCTTGGTGTAGAGTACATATGGATCATGCACATGTACAGGGTATCGGACTGTTTTTGATTTTAGTAGATTCTTTTTCTGGATGGCCGTAAGTTATTAAGGTAAATAACCGTGAAGCAACCACTGTAAAGGCAGTACTACAAAGTGTTTTTTCAAGAAATGGAGTTCCAGAGGTTTTAGTATCCGACAATGCTGCGGAATTTCATGATACCACCTTACACCAGTGGCTAAAGAAAGTAGGTTGCGTACCTTATAAGACTCCAACTTACCATCCTCAATCTAACGGAGCAGCTGAAAGAATGGTAGAGACAGTTAAGATGGGTTTAAGAGCTTATTCACCGGACAAAGGTTTATTATGTGGATATTTAAGCAGAATGCTTTTAAGTTACAGAACAATACCTCATGCAGGAAGATCAAGGAGTCCTTCCGAGATGATGGGAAGGCAGTTGAGATCCCCTCTCACTATGAGTTTCGAAAGTGGGACACCTTTATGGTACCGTTAAAAACCAGATTCCAAACCTGAACCTGCCTCATTCATCTCTCAGGCAGGTCTAAACACTGCGATCACATTAAGGAATAACTCTTCGGGTACGTTAGCACACTGTGACCAAATAAACAAACGCCTAAATGAGCCTAGTATACTTATGAATAATGAAGGCAGTATGCGGTATGATCATACCAATAATGAAAAAATCGATCCATGCAATAGTGATAAATCTGATATGTCCGAACTACGTGTTACTAAAGAAGAACCTAACCAGAATCGAAGAAGTACTCGGTCGACAAGGGGGCAAAAGCCAATACGTTTCAGGGATGTGAAGCCGTGAATCATATGCGGACAAATAGGAACAATGTTTTGATATATATAAACATACGTGGCTATAAAAATGTATATTAAAGATGGCTTACTTATAAGAATATATATATTCAAGTGTAGTACAGTGTTTTAATAACGACACAAACAAAAAATCCAAACTTCATAGTTGCTAAATGATACAAGTTGATATCAATAATTTATTTGTTGATATCAATAATTTGTTTGCTGGTATTGATAACTTGTTTGTTGGTATTTATAATTTGTTTGTTGATATTAATAATTTTTTTAACATCTTTTTTCAAACGATATATAAATTTTAAATATCGTGTATAGTAGTTAATGTCTACATAAAATTCTAATAACAATTCACTCAAGTGTAATGTTACAACAATAAACCAATTTAATTATTTTTCAATTAAAAGAATTGTATCAAAAAAAAAAAAAAACATTTAAAAATGTTAAACTGCATAATTTGGTTATTTTGAATTAAAAAAAAAAAAACTTAAAAAAAAGAAAACTTCGCAACATTTTTTTCTTTTAAATGAACTTGCATTGAGAGTTCTTTCTTTGAAAAAACTCTTAATACAAGAGTTCAAAATACAAGAGATATCAAAAACTCTTTTATATATATATATATATATATATATATATATATAATATATATATATTATATATATATATATATATATATATATATATATATATATATATATATATATATATATATATATATATAATTTTTGAGATTTTGATTAAAACAATTAGAAATTTTTAAATGATATTTTCTTTTAAAATAAATTTTAAATAAATAAATTGCAAATAAATTTAACATTTTTATTTTTGTAAATAATTTTGACATTTTTCTAAATGCATATGTTTTTGACATTTTTTTGAGTGCAAATGATTTTGAATTTTTTGATTTTTTGTCAAAATTAAACAACTCAGTCAATAAAAGATTTGTGTTAACTTAACTAAACTTTTTTAGCAGCTTTTGACAATTATCACAAACTCGTCATGGAACCTTATCATTACTAAAATCAAATTTTGTGAAATAATAAGTTTGCTTTTATATTTTTTTAAACCTACAGTTTTACAACAAAATTTATTTTAAAAGCAAAATCTTATTTAAAATATCTATATTACATATAAATTAGACTAAAACTAATTTATATTACACTTAAGTTAGACAGTAATCTTCTACATTTGATGCCATTCAATTCAAAATAATTTATACTAATACCTGTGCAATAGCATAATCTGAAGCACTAGCAGCCTGCAATCCTTCCTGACCACTGATCCCAACTCCAACATGAGCTGCCTATATATGTAAATTATAATAAACTTATATATAAATAAAAAATAAATCTCTTTGCAAATATACTATTTATATAACAAATCCATGAAGCATGAAGTAAATGAGCAAAAAATTATTGACCATCTAAAAAAGACATAATGGTTATAATAATTTTTTATCCTATCTGCTTTTGCACATAGACTGTTTTTTTTGATAGATATACTGATCAAACAATAAACACAATACTATTATCACTATTGTTTAATGTTTATTGAGTTAAGCAATTTCGTACCTGTGCATCATGGAAGAAAAAGTGCATCATGGGAAATAGAATATGAAAAAAACATAGAATCATGAAGAAAGTAAAATTTTAATGTGAATTTATAATAATTTATTAAAAAAATTATTAAACTCATTAATAATAAACTAAAAAAACTAAAAAAAATTCATTAAATTCTGAATTTTATATTTTTACTGTAAAATTTATTTTATAAAAAATTCACATTGTGTATTGGCATAACAAAATGCCATCATTTTGTCAAAAAATGGAGTTACCCAATTCGCATATAAGGTATCGATTTACACTGCATTTAAACATAATGAATTTTCGACTTTCACAACATGTTAAATGTTTTAATGTTTTGATTTTCATAACATCTGATTGTTTTAATATTTAGTAAATTTATGACTTTCATGCGTTTAAATTTTTTAATATTACTTGAACAAAAGTGATGATAATCTCAACAAACAGGCACTTATAACTGTGTACAACAAACATGCACAGCCTAAAAATGTCATTAAACATCTTAACCATAACATTTGACTAGCACTTTATTATTAGAAATATAGTTTTTTTATCACTTAAATTTTATAATTTTTATAAATTGTGTAATATGTTATTTATTTTTTTAACAACTTTGAACAGAATATCAAATGGGAAATTTTTATTAAAATATTTACATCAATACAGGTGAAGATCATTAAAACAATATTACCTGTATCATGCTAACATCATTTGCACCATCTCCTATTGCTAATGTAATTGCTTCCATAACATTGTTCTTCACTAATTGGACCACCAAAGATTTTTGCAGCGGTGAAACTCTAATATTGATGTATTTTAAAACATTTAAAAATAATAAAAGCTTATAAAATTAAACGTTAATAGTAAGATTTTACCTGCAAGCTATTACTGCTCTACACACAAGGGCAAGGTCTAGAAATAATTCTTTGCATTCATCTTGTAAACAAAACCCTAACACCTTAAAAAAAAACATAATTCTAAAAGCATAACTAATTTTAAAAATAAATTAAACACTTTTGTTTTGTTTTTGAAATCATAAAAAAACAAAAACAAATTTTTATATTTTAAAAAGCTCATTTGAAAAGTAAAAATTTGTAAATCTTATAAAGAAAAGTAAAAATTTGTAAATCTTTTAAAGAAAACACTTCAAATCTTATAATCTATAATAGTAGAAAACCTCACAAAATTCTTTGTATCAAAATATAGAAAAAAAGATGAAAAAAATGCCAATCAGCAAATCTATGATTTCTTGAAACTACTATTAAACAATATATCCTACTATTAAACAATATATCCAACAATATCCTCGCTCTATAACTCTGTTCTTTTTTTTCCTAGTAACTCCCAACTTAATAGTGGTTGCTTGCAGCCTTGTTGGGAGTGAATGCAAATAAAAAAAAAAAAATAATAAAAAATATGCCAGTATAAATAAGACATTTAACAACTTGAGAAACTATTATGAAATAAAATATTCTGAGGAATGTTATGCTAATAATCTTCAATCAAAGAAAATAAATGTTAATTGTTGGTTTTCTTTGAAACAAATAACCAGTCCAAATCCAACTCCTAAAGATGTTTAACAGGATTGAGCTCTAAGCTCAGTGAAGACCATTCTAAAACTTTGATTTTTGGTGATTGAAAATAACAATACTTTGGATCATTATCTTTACTAAAAAATCTATTTTCAAAGATTACCTTTTTAATGTGGCATCATAACATTCTTCACAATATCCAAATAAACTTTCTAATCCATATCACTTTTTATAAAATAAACAAGACCCACCTTGTCACAACTAAACATTCTGAAATTATAACATTTTCAATGTTGTATTTAACAACAGATATATTTTAGATTCTGCATCCTGCAGAACAACAAACATACATTATCTTATCATTATTAAATAGCATAGGCCTTGATTCATTTGACGACAGGCCTATTGACCAGTCATCAAGTGACAACCATACAACACTGTTACAGTTTTGTTACAAAACTCTTTACAAGAAACCTTAACAGCTTTGTGCTTAAAAAAAAATATTAATAAATTCCTTGCTTTAAAACTTATCTACAGTTATCTTCACATTGTGCTGCTGCAATTTCCAATTGAAACTGTTACTTCCATATCTATCAGCAAAACAATTCTCCAGAAAACAGACGCCTGTTTATTACTGTTAGGAACCATTGTAAAAAGGTTTTGTCTAACACCAAAGCCCGCTACTTTCAGGTCATGAAATCTCGTATATCATCACAAAAATTAGGCTCTCACAACTTCTGGAGAATTTTTAATAGTATCAATAACAAGGGCAAATCTGTTACTCCACCTCTCTTGTATGGTTCAGACTTTGTCACCTCAGCTAAAGACAAAGCTGAATTGTTAGCTAAAAACTTTTCATCGATATAAGAGTTTGTCGTCAAACAGGTTGATCCATTGCTTGACATTCGTATAACTCTGTATCTAAAGTGATTTCCTGCTTAGATTCTTCAACAGCTTGTGGTCCAGACAACATACTTGTTATAGTCTTGCAGAAGCATTTACTGGAGCTGTTGTCTATACTTCTATACGTCTATACTCAAAACTATTTAACAAGTGCTTATCAGAGTCTTGTTTTCCAGTCTGCTGGTAAGCAACATCTACTATCCCTATTTTTGAAAATTCTGGAGAGCGATCTGATTTGTCTAACTACCATCCCATAAGCCTTCTTCCTATCATAAGCAAGGTTTTTGAATCTTTAATCAACAAACACAAACACAAATCTCTCATCTTGAATCTAATAACTTTCTGATCATCTATATGGATTTCGATCTTTTCATTCTACAGCTGATTTGCTAACAGTAATAACTGATAAATTTTATCGTACATCAGATAAAGTTAAAGAGGTTAAAGCCATCGCTCTTAACATTTCTAAAGTGTTTGATAAAGTTTGGCATGCTGGTCTTCTTCAAAATCTCAGGCCTTGTTAAGAAGCATTTCCTTATTTGAATTTTTACGTACGTATTTACGATTTCATGTATGTGTTTGGCAATTTAGGTTACGAAAAAACTTTTTTCAATTAGTTTATTTTAGACAGTCTTTTAGAACAGATAATGCGGAAAACATTAAGCTCTAATTAATTTTTGTAAAAAATATTTGTGGAATATTTTTTATTATTAGATAAAAAAAAAGACACTTTAAAGTTTTTTTTCTACTTTACGTTTTTAAAAAGTTTTCAATTTATGTTTATTTTTATTATATTTAAATTAATTTTATTATTAATCAGTTGTTATCATAGTTTATTAAATTTATTATTAATCATAGTAATTTATTTTATTAAATTTAATTAAAATCCTTTTAAAAATTTTAAAACGCTACATTTAAAAATTTTTTTTACTAATAAAATTTCTAAACTAACCAGAAACAAGTGTCCTTTTCTTTAAAAAAAATAACTATAAAATCAATGTTTTAAAGAAAAAAAACTAAGTTTAAATAAGTATAAGATTTTAAAATAAGGAAAAATTTTTATTAATCAACATTTAAATTTTATTTTTAATTCATTTTACAACAATATTATTTAATTTAATTTTCATTTAAAAGACTTACAACAATTTTTAATGTGGTTTTAAATTTAATTACAATGAGGTATTTTAAAATAAGCAACCTACGTAATTAAACTTTTAACAATGTAAATATCTTTATTGAATAAAGTTACTATTATTTGCGTTGGTCTTTTCCGTTATGCAACAAAATCTCATAACAAGGCCTGATATCTGGTAACATAGTTAAGATTATTGAATCCTTCCTTTCCAATCGTAGTACGAAAATTGTACTTGATGGACAGCACTCTTCTTCATATCCAGTAACTTCAGGGGTTCCTCAAGGTTCAATCCTTGGCCCTATACTCTTTTTAATTTACATTAACAATCTTCCAGATATCATCACTAAGGTGGCATTGTTTGCTGATTATACTACCATTTATTCTTGTCATGATAAGAAGCCAACACTCTCTGATTGCTTGAAGGGAGAAATAATTTCATTCAGCCAATCGTTTTTGCAATAATTAAGATCTTCCTATATTTATGAACGATAATGTACTCAATGAGTCATCTACCCTTAATCTTCTAGGATTAACTTTTACTTCCGATCTTTCTTGGAAACCGTATACCAAATCTGTTGCAAAATTAACATCCAATTACGACTCAAAAAACTGTAATATGTATGTAATCTGTCAATTTTTAAAAAAGTAAACAAATACAAGATTCTTCTTAACACCGTAAACTAGGGTTATTTTGAAAATAAGCTTGGGTTTTAAATCATCAAGATTATGAAAAGCTGGAACCAAAATTTTATGAAGTTTGAACATATTTTGAACCTACTTTGAACATAGGGCAACCTTGGAAAAAAATTTATGATTTGACTTAGATATATATATAGCATCCATTTGATTAAATATAAATAAATGATGTTACGCCATTTTTATAATTGCTAGCATACTAGTAAATGTAATGAAATATGTCATATGGATGCTTTATGTATCTAAACAAAATCTTACATTTCGTAAAAAGTTGCCTTGAGTCTAAAGTAACCTCAGCTTACAATATTGATTTAAAACTTAACTCATTTTATTAACACAAAAATACTTTTAACAATTTAAAAAAAATAAAATTTAAATATAAAAATATAAAAAATGAATGATAAAACAGATATAAACTTACTGATCCATTTACAACTAAAGCTAAATTCTTTACTTCTGAAACTTCTCTTAGATCATTTTTTTTCTTCTTTATAAATCTTTTAATATTATTATTGTTGATATGCTCATTTAGCCATTTTTGCACCTCCTATATACACACACATTTTAATCAACATAATTTGATAAATTATATTTTTTATATTATATTTTAAGTTATTTATATTACCTTTACAGTTTTTCCTTCACAAATTAACAAACTAAGTTCATCATGTAACAAACAACAAGAATAGCCAATATTAATTGCTGTTTCCTGTTTATCTCCTGTCAAAACCCATATCTTTATGTTGGCTGATGATAGTGCTGCAATACTTTCTGGAACTCCATCTTGAAGCTTATCTTCAATTGCTGTAGCTCCAAGTAGAACAAGATTATTTTCTATCATTTCCCCTACTTCTTCAAGATGTTTTTCTCTGTCAACCAAGGCTGTGCTAGCTTCATAAAATTTTTGGTTCCACTTTTCATAATCCTGATGATCAAGTTCGGCTGAAGCAATACACAAGGTGCGTAATCCTAAAATAAAAAATCAAATTTTTTATAAAATTTTTGATGAAGCAATACACACACAGATGTGTGTATATATATATATATATATATATATATATATATATATATATATATATATATATATATATATATATATATATATATATATATATATATATATATATATATACATATACATACATATATATATATATATATATATATATATATATATATATATATATATATATATATATATATATATATATATATATATATATATATATATATATATATATATATATATATATATACACACACACACACACTAGGGTGCATCAAACGCCCCATACTTTCAAAATTTGATCTGTCCCTATTCTTAAAACCATCTGTTGGTTCTCACGAGACACTGTTAAATTTTTTCAAAATTGAATGAGATTTAGGGGGGCCACATTAAGTCTGAAACTTGCAACGAGACCCTAAACAGAAGAAAAAAAAGTTTTTCAAATGAATGTCATGTTGGATCTCAAAAGAAGCGAAACTTGATGAAATTTCAAAAATAGTTATGATTTTTTGTTAAAAATACCTTGAAAAAAAATTTCGACCAAAAACCATGAAAAAATGGCTTTTTTTAATTTTTTGCTAAAAAATAATTTTTATGCAAAAAACTTATAATAATAAATATTATGTAAAATTTTTATTGCTTTTAAAATTTTTTTATGAAATTTCGCTTCTTTTGAGACCCAACATGACATACATTTGAAAAACTTTTTTTCTCTTCTGTTTAGGGTCTCATCGCAAGTTTCAGATTTGAGGTGGCCCCCCTAAATCTCATTCACTTTTGAAAAAATTTAACAGAGTGTCTTGTGAGTACCAATAGAAAGTTTTAAGAATAGGGACAGATCAATTTTTGAAAGTATGGGGCGTTTGATGCACCCTAATATACACATACATGTGTATATATATATATATATATATATATATATATATATATATATATATATATATATATATATATATATATATGTATATATGTATATATGTATATATGTATATATGTATATATGTATATATGTATATATGTATATATGTATATATGTATATATGTATATATGTATATATGTATATATGTATATATGTATATATGTATATATGTATATATGTATATATGTATATATGTATATATGTATATATGTATATATGTATGTATATATGTATGTATATATATATATATATATATATATATATATATATATATATATATATATATATATATATATATATATATATATATATATATATATATATATTAAAAAAGTTTTTATAAAATACAATTGTTTATTTTATCAGAAAACTTTTGAAAAGCTATTAATAAAACTATTTATTAATAAAAAAAAGAATATGAAAAAAAAACTCAAGTTGAAATTTTCAAATAATTTTTTTTTAAACAAATATAAAACCTTCTCTAGCAAAGTCATCCAAGTGCCCTAGGGTTGTTGCCTCAAATCTTCTGTCCTCACTCAATCGCTGAAGTATAACTGTATCCTAAGACGATGATTTCAAAAATGGTTATTTATTCAAGATGATTATACTTTTATAAAATTTAATATATTATTTAAATGTTTAACATTTTCTAGAATAAAATTAAAAAATAATATCTTACACAGCAAGAGGTTCAAAAAGTGTAGCCTTTGTTACACTTTTTGAACACTTTCTTTAAATTAATGCTTAGGAATAGGGAAGGAGGGGGATGTAGTTGGAGGATTTACTTGTGGCAAACTATTTTTTTTTTAATTACATAATAATTTAACAAAATAACTAAGTAATATAATTTACCGAAGCATAGTTGAACAGGCTGTGAAACTGTTTATGCAAGTGCAAGGTTCAGATTTATTAAAGATTTTCATCATTTTTTTATATTTATTTTTACAAGAAGATATTTTTACATTTAATATACAACACTTTTTATATTTCCATCCATAACAAAATACAAGTTAATGTCACAAAATAAGTCCACAAGACAACCATGGACAGTAAACACTTGAAAATATTTATGAACATTTAAGTTGTGAAAATTCAACTACGAATCTTTTAGAATTTTGAATAGTTCCTAAATCATTTACAATTTATAAATATAGATAGTTTTCAGACAAAAAGAAGAGCAAAAAAAAACAAAAACTATTGCTGTAATAACTATCCTCCGTATCTTGATTACACCCATTCCCTCAGATGATATTAAAGCCCTTGCAGTTTGCTATTTTTGTATGATCTCATCAATAACCTTTCATACAAGTGCAAAAATATATACAATATGCAAAGATATACATACACTGGCTAAACAAGCAGAACATGCAAAATATGCAGTTAAATTGACTAAGAGTTTGGGTTGGGGCAACAATTGTTAGTTTGATTAACTTTTTTTCTTTTCCTGAAAAATTAATTATTTAAGAATTAAAGTGCACAAAATATATTAGGAAATTGCGCTTTTAGATATATATTGTCTGTTGTGTATGTGCATATATATATATATATATATATATATATATATATATATATATATATAATATATATATATATATATATATATATATATATATATATATATATATTGAACATCTTCGCTTCCAACAAGGCTGCAAGCAACCACTAATTAGTGTTGGAAGTTACTGGAAGAGAAAAGATGACAATTGTAGAGCAAAATAACGATTGACAGACGACTTAAAAGATTGCAAATTATATGAATCAGGAAAGCAAGATGAAGGAAGCGAATTCCAAAGAACTGATGTTCGAAGAAAAAAACTAGACGAGTAAGAGTTTTTGGAGCATTTAGTAACAGAAAAAGGATGAGACTTAATTGAATGACGAGTAACATGAAAATGAATTTTAGTAGATGGCACAAGATATATATATATATATATATATATATATATATATATATATATATATATATATATATATATATATATATATATATATATATATATATATATAAATGTAAATGTGATTGAAAATATATGCACATAGTATAAATATACAATAAAAGCACACATTTTATGTATGCAGCCCATGTATATTTAGTCTCAAGATATTTTATTGAAGAATGTTCATATTGTTTAAATTTGTGTTTTCTGTAACAGTTTAAGCTTTTAGCATTACATTATGGATTGTTAAATATTTTTAACCACAACTGTTTAAATACATATGAAGTCTGATAAGTTTAAATTTTCTGACATTCTTGAATGTCTGACATGCTTTAATTTTTAACATGATTATTTTCACACAACTTAAACTTTGAGGTTTTTTTACACAATTTTTTATGATTTGTTTTATCAAAATTTTATTTATTAAATTTGATTGAATAATAAATTGTAGTTAAATATATTTTTTAATTCTCTCTCTTTTTTAAGACTGTATATAGACTACACAACTTCAGTGAGGTATCCTATAAGACAACTTCAGTGAGGTATCCTATAAGACAAAAAAAAAAAGGAAATGATACAACGCAAAGCAACATGCACAAAATGTCTTCAAGGGAAAAACTATGAAACAAGACTTTAAACTAACGACTCTTGAAAAAAGATGCGACTGTAAAGACCTAATCCAATTTTACAAAATAGTAAAAAATATAGATAATTTAACTTTGTAATACCCACCTGATTTAATAGTTTCAAATACAAAAGATCATAATATGAAGTTTCATATACAATAAAAATTCAAAGAGATACTATTTCTTAACAAATCGTGTTACCAACAGTTGGAATAACTTAGATCAAAACATTGTAGATACTAAAACACTTAAAGAGTTTAAATCAAAGTTGGACTTGTTTTTAACATAAATCAGCTGTTAAAGCCTAGATTACCTTGGCTCCATACATTGTTATTGTAAATGTACACAGTTATTATTAAATAAATATATAAAATAAATAATTTAACTTTTTATCAGTAAATTTATAATTTAATAAATTTATACAAAATTCTATATAAGTTAAATTTATTAAAATTTAAACATGTTAAACTGGCTAAAAAGAATGGAATAGTTATGATTTTGTTATGCTCTTAGTTATTAATTAAACTTTTAGAATAAAAAACATTTTTAATTGTAAAGAATGTTGTAAAAAATCTCAATAACATGATATTAAAAATAAAAAAAATTATCAATTTTGTAAATGGGGTTTTCATTAATTAAGTGAGCAATAATTTAAATTGTAGTTATGTAATTATAGATATTATATTTCAGTTGTAGACTCATTAGATATGGTACCTGTCAGGTTATACTTATTTGAATTTAAAAAAACATCTTGTTAACTTGGTTAGCAACTCATTTAATACATATTTTTTAGCAAATAGAAGTTAGTGTTTATTTGCACGTCAAAAAAGTGTAGTGCAAATTACCAGTTTTGTGTGGAGACAGAAAAATTCTTAAAAGAATGTTTTAGTCAACTGCAAGCTCTGATGAAGTTTTTACATGGACACAAGTAGTCACTGGGTTTGAAAATACTGTTCGCTTCAATAAAGTTGATCAGTAAAAATCACAAACTGATAATATCTTAAAAACACCACTATCTCAACCTGAAACATCAACATCATTTTAATCTGAAACCCCACCAACACCTTCACCTGAGTTTTTGTCACTTCAATCTCATCATTTAAAACCTTGTATCAAATTTGACTTGCTTAAGTCAAATTTGATACAAATTTGAAGGCAAGCTAAAAAACACTGTATTCTTAACTTCAATGATGAGCAGAAAATAGGTCATGCGACAACGACAACAATAACAGCACAAAACCAAATCAAATGTAAAAAGTGCATGAAGTTCTAGGCTGAGCTTTGACTTTGCCAAATATGCAAACTAAAACAATATGTAAAAGACATGAAGTTATATTGTGCCAAAGAATGTTGCACAAATGACAACTCAACATTCAAAACTTGTTTAAAACTCTACATCATTAAAGAATAAAAAAAACTTGTTTTTCTTTAAATGTTACTGTTAGTTGTATTTCTTTTTAATTGAGTTTTAATTTCTTTAATTACTTATTGATTTGCATATAGTATGAGGGCGAAATAAAATTAAATTTAATACAAGTTAAATTTATATAAATTTAATATACAACATAAATAAAAGTTAAAATAATAAACTTTTAATACATGAACTTTAGTTTTTTTTAATTGTTAATTTGAATCATTCATATCAATATCCTTCATACAAACACATATAAGTTTAGATTTTATAACACATATCCTTCATACAAACATATGAGCTTTGATTTTATGATACATAGGACACAATAAAAAAAAAGCATAACTACTTACAGCTCCCTTGCAAAATATTTTTATCTTATTGTCTGGTGTTCTTACAATAACAGACATTCGCTTTCGAGTACTAAATTTAAATTGTAAGACATTTCATTTTTGTTTATAAAGTTATTTTTTGTAGCTTTATTTAAAAAAAATTTTAACCTGGTAAACTCAAGAACATTAAGGATTTCATATACTTCTTCTATTCCATTCTAAAAAAATAAAAACAAAAAAAAAGGTAAACTAAAAGCTACTGTAAAATGAGGTGAGTAGAACCAGTAAGGTGAATAGAAACAAAATTTTATATACATATATAACAATGCAATTGGAAATTTATTTATGTAGGAATTTTATAATAACTAGTTTTTTACAATGGCAACACTTCAAATTAACAGGAAAATGTGTTTTGTTTTATTTGGCTAGAAAGGCAGTCGGTATTTTATTAAGTTAAAGAACCAACTTCATTTTGCTGTAATTTGAAGCTACTCTGAACTTGTCTGGTCAAACTAAAATCTACGCACTTATAAAATTTTTATTCTAGTTTTCTGTATGCTTCAGTTTTTGTTTTATCTAATTTAAACTTTAAATTAATGAATCTATTTTCTTTGTTGCTGAACCTTTGTTTGGTAGGCCTTACTAAGTTGTTTTTTAGGATTACTGTTAGTATACCGCAAATAGAAAAACCTGTTTTTTTGTGTGTGTGGTTATGAAGGTGCTCGTACAAGTTCTTACAGTCTTATCACAGAGCACCGCGAAAGAGCATCTAACTAGAAAGTTTCCACCTTCTTCAACCGCAACATTGGTAAGGAAGGTTAATAATTAGGCTAGAGTCAGCTTTGAACCTTGGTTTCTGAGTTAGAACTCTAACCACTGCATCACTGTTGTTGGACAGGATATAAAAAACACTTAAAGCTATTAAGAATGTCATTAATGATCTGAAAAAAGTATGAACTTACAAAAAGACACGGAAAAATATGGTATACATCATAGAATATTATACTAATACTGAAAAAGAGGCTTGAATATGAAAAAAGTAAAGTCGTGGTTTATATACCAGTTCCAGATTTATAGTATATAGGGGTATCCTATAGATTCTATTACACAAAGACTCCAACTCAAGGACTCTTTAGATTGAAGTGACTAATGTATCAAGGAATTTAATAAAAACTCTGTCATGATTTTTTATAGGGCTTTTCAAAACAACACAAAGACAAGTTGGCTATCAGAATGTGCCAAAACATCAAGCATTCAAGAGCTAGAGTAATGCCTGAAGCAATCAATGCTTACTTTGTTGAACTGTCGAAAGAATTAAAGAACGTGTCTTTTTCAAATATTGCAAATTACAATAAGACTAACCTGACTGGTGACCCAGGAAAATGTAAGGCTATAACAAGGAGAGAGACAAAATATTCAGAAAGAATATTAAACTTGTTGAAAAGTCTGTCATACTTTCAGCAGAACATCAAACATCTGTCATGTTTTCAGCAGCTGCAGATGGCAACATATAATCACTTTATATGGAGCATAAAGTTTTACATTTGTTTAAAAGCTGGACAGAAGGAGGACTTTAAGCACAATATAATAGGAAAAAATCTGGGTGGTTTCAGCAAAAAAAATGTTGTTGTTGGTTTTAAGAAAACCGGAAATGCTCCTTCAAATAATGTGTTATCAATGTTCCCAGGTACAAGTATTATTCAAAAAAGCCAGGCAATTAAAACTCAGCAACAAACTGATATCATCAAAACTAGCTTCAAAGTGCTCCTTCAGAGTATGAGATTAGATCAAACACAATGTACTCTTAACATGAGGAAAAAAAGAAAAATAACAAATGTACCGCAAAACAAAAAATTTCTTTAGATGTTAAAACTACCTCAAACATGATGGTAGAAACCCTGGGGTGAGTTGAAACAGGAGGTTATTTTCATTATTTTGTTTTTTGAAAAAATGTAGCTGCATTACAGACATGAGTTTTGGGTTATTATTTGAATTTTTTTCTTATGTTAGATAAAAAAAATTTCAATCTAGATTTCAAAAATGTTTCAACTCACCCCATTTTATGGTATTAAAAATATAAACGTTAGCGTGTTAATTTTTAATTTTAAATAATACTTTACTATATTAATAATGACAGACGTTGGCGTCCTTGTATTGAACACAAACCCAAATTCAGATGCACCTTTGACTAAAGCTCCTTCATCTAAAAATTACATGGAAAAACTACTAAAAAAGAAAAACAAAATTAAAAAAAATTAAATTATAGAAAATTTTACCTGGAGACGCTGATTGATAAATAATTTCACTCGGATTTTCATTATCTCTCTCAGGAACAACAGTGTGACAGACTGAAAGTAATGTGAAAAACTCTCTGATGTATCCAGATGAATCCTATATAAACATTTTTTTTTAATTGGCTGAGTATTGTAACTGAATTCTTTCAAATAATTCATTAGCAGTTTTGTAAACTTATTTGAAATTTTGTAATGTTATCATCATAAGGATGGCTTAAAATTAAGGCTACAAAAGTAAAGATTACAAATTTTTCCATGCCAGCCTATTTATATAACTCGGTCATATAGGAACAAGATTATTGTAAACATAACTTTTCAAAACTTTCAAATTAATAAATATCTTTTAAACTATTAAACAATTTTGTAAGTTTTTTATTCATACCCGATTTTCATAATCATCCTGAAGTTTCTGATCTGCAAACTCCCCACTTTTTGCACTATTAAAAATAATATACATAAAAGGTATTAAAATAATATACATACATACATACATACATACATACATACATACATACATACATACATACATACATACATACATACATACATACATATATACATAC